CAATTATATATATAATATATAATATATATATAATTTCCCTCTGGGATTATTAAAGTATTTCTGATTCTGATTCTGATTCAACATATATTCTACAAAGTGACTAAATCTATAACTACTACTTTCCACCACTGGACTTATTGAGTAGTATTGAGCAGGAGTTAGGGTTGAGTGCCTTGCTCATGAGAATCAAGTGACTTTTTCTTCACTTTCCCCACAAAATGTTCAGGTTGTATCTGGAAATACTGCCTCTTTAACCTCCAAAGCAGATTTAAAACTTAAGCCAGTGTTCATTGATGGTGTCATATCTCACATATGGGACGTTGCCCAGAAGAGGTGGTGCTTTAAATCATGTGTGTCAACAAGTTAGGGACCGAAGAGTGTTACTGAGTAAGACATCTTAAGTACTTACACTGAGACCGACCACACGACATGCTGGATGAATGACACCGATTCAGCTACAGCCTGCCTGCACCAACTAGACCTGGACCCCGTGATTATGTCCCAGTCACACTACCTTACTCCTGTTACTCACACTCACTCCTGGATTTACACTCACACAGATTGCTGAGAGGCTCTGAGTGCTTGCCAGGGTGTGTGGGTATATTTAGAGGGGGGTTGTTGTAGTGGTGGTGCAGGAGCAGATACAGGAGGTTTTATACACTCAGACCTTTATAATCCAGAGTGTGCTGGTTGCCTTTGTCACCATGCACTCGGGACCGGCACCACGCTACTGGCTACCAGTCTGCCCGCACGTCCAAGCAGTCAGAATAACTGTGGCAGAGGATGAGTGGGACAAAACAAAGGCAAAGGTGATGATCTCTCACCTACTTCCTGACAATCAGCAACCTTATCGTCATGTGTACACATTGAAAATAAGAAAGCTTATTAAAAAATGCACCACAAAAGCCTGAACTGGCTCAGTGCTTTTGTTTGGTATACATGGTTACGAAGGATTCCTTCAGGCATTGAAAGTTTTCAAGTGTAAAAGGATGAAAGTTTTGAAAATTAAAAGACTTTATTGGAAGTATTTTTCTAGCATGTTTCAGTCCCTTGAAACTCTTTTTGTCCTACAGAATAAACACTTGACATCCTTCCACAAAACACCACGAGGGATTGTGTTTGTTACAGCAGCTCGTAATATAACCTGGCACGCAACAAGATTTAGTTTTACCAATGTCAGTTTAATTTCTCACCTCAAAACATGCACATTTTGAGTATTTAAATTTCAACAAAACATTAAATAGTATTTGATTCTGACATCCAACTGAGAGTAAAAGCAATTGTGATGGAACAGCATCAACCAGCACCCTGGAATAATGCAGATAAGTCTTCATGTTACTGTTTTATTATTATTAACAACACTATAGACAAGACTGGTTTCAGATATTGAAATTAAAGTAAAAGAATATTATAGAATATCAAATGTAAAGTATTACACATACAAAGTGGGGGATAGATGTATCTTATAAATGTCTGTATAGCCTGAAATACAAAGTATGCAAAGTCCTTTAAAACTCTACAGTGAGTAAGGACTGCAAATATAAAGCTGACCTGAAAGGTCAAGGTGCGTCACGCAGCACAAGTTAAGATATGAAGAGCACACATCCTTGGGGAGATAAGATGGGTGTTCTGTCTTAAATACACGTTGAAAGACCTACACGTGTTTTTAAGATTCAAAATGAGAGTTACAGTCTCCTTTTAACTACAGCAAAAGGTTTGATGCCACATGTCAAAACTTTCTAGTCGCTGGTCTTATCTCCATCCATGTTCAAAGCTGCGGTCACGAGACTTGGATATAAAAATAGTTTTGAGTCGGGCACCGCCACAGCGCTGACTTTCAGTGGGGGTCCACCGCCATCATGTGGTGAAGAGGTCGACTTGTCCTGAGTGTGGGGATTCAACAGGTTGAATACTCTCACTGCGTTTCAAATGGATGGAATGGAAATTTCTGTGATATGAGTGTCATGGCGCACGGAGTTTCTTGTGAAACCCGGACTGGTGTTTTGTATATTTCGGAAATGTTTGTAGTGAATAAGCTGCTACTTTTTCTCCAGATTGAGCCCTTTGTTATGCCAGTTAATAACTGGCTTCTTGCGCTTGCTGAACAAACATGAAATGGTTAAACTGAGACATAAGTGCAGCTGCTTGTTGTGCATGGGCGGATTAAAGCATTTTTTCTGAGAGTAACTCACATTACAAATATTTGAAGACGTCTCAACCCAAACTCTCACTCTCTCTCTCTCTCTGCGGTGATGCTGTGCGCAACTGCGTGACGGAGTCGAGTGTATTCAAAACACCACCCCATCACCCGTGTCAAACTCAAATGTCCGTCGTTAATGTCTCAGTGTTGGAGCTCTTCGGATAGAGACACCATCGCCTTGAGCCATGGAAAAGTTTGTGCTTGTATTCATTTTTCTACTAGATGTTCTGTGTTTGGGTACCGGTCAGCACCATTTACGCACACGTGCCGGACCTTGGAGACAACGGATTCAGTGGGAGAATAACGGTCAGGTGTACAGTTTATTGAGCACGGGGACTCAATATCGCTCACCTGCGCAGGTCAGAAGGCGAACTCAGCTTTTATTGACAACTAAAAACACTTTTAACCGACTTCACCCTCCTGTTGCGCCCAGTAGATCCACCAGAACCAGATCTGGACTCCCCGAGGACGCAACTGGGGGTTACTCTCAACAAAACGACGTCAGCCAAATGGACGCGTCGATTCTTGGTGCGGATGCGGGTCCGTATTTACTCGCGTCTGGACGACCCGGGACACTCAGTCAGTCCCCACCGCGCATCGCAACCACAGGAGAAGTTGTGGCTGTGGGATACCGTTCACAGCATGCACCGTCTAACGACAGTGCTCCAGCTTTCACCACCATTCAGGAGTTCTCCGGCAGCGGAGTCCCGAGAGGAGGTCGGAGTACACCTGGAGATGACGCTGGCGCACAACGGGCCACTGCCTCACCTGTAAGATCACCCGACTTTACGCACAGGCGTGGCGGCACGACAAGATCTGAGAGCACGGAGTCAACTGTCACAGGCGGATGGCCCACGATGGCCGAGGATAGTGGGAATACACGTCGCGTCCCAGCGCAAACCAGTTTAGGTCAAAGAGCGCACTCACTGACCAGAATCACACCGGAGTCAAATGTTTCTCCCACAGCGCTTTCCAGTAACTCCGTAGAAATACACTTTCCTCGTCCAAGGCCCGACTCAACCCGGACTACGGACACGAGTGACCCACGAGATCCGCACAGTATTCATCACAGAAACTCAGTTTTCTACGATGTTTACCCACCAGACCGCAGAAACAGGATCACCGTGCGCCCGGCACCTGGACCGGGATATGGCACCAGGTTCTTCCACAATGGTGAGGCGGACAGGAGACATTATAACCCAAGTGCATAAGGAAAAACACACAGTTTGAACGCAATAAAACATATATATGATATATATATAAAATATATTTCCTTATAGATGAAATGCATCCTAAAATCAAAGTCTAAATCAACAAGCTCTATCAATTATAGCTCATTCTCGGGGAACCATAAGTGGAGCAAAGCTGAGGCACAGATGCCCCAGGATAATTTTTCACCTTCAAAATTTAAATCCCCTTTTTTCTAATGCATTTTTAATGAGACTGAGAGTTAATGCCCCCTTAATGACAATACTAATGTCTCCAGTATGAGAGCCTCTGAGCAAAATAAAAATAAATGGTGGATTTATAGCCTAGCAGTTAATGGCCACTCAAAGTTCTCCATTCAATAATCCCCTTGATTTAGGTCGATGATAGCAAATGTTCTTTAAAAAATAAGATTTTTTTTTTTTTTTGTTATATCAAATCAGTAGATACAGAAAGATTTCTTCACTTATATATACAGGTGAGATATTCATAAGGATTTCTGCCTGCATATTTAAATCACCACATACATTTCTGTGTTGTTTTCTGTCTCAGAGAATATAAATGAAAAGCTGCCACCTCTTTGAGAGTAATGATCCAAAAAGCTGCTATACTTAAGCAAAAATCTTAAGGAAAAGTTAATTCCCCTGCATTTCTGGCTGAGTCCATGCATGCATTTACATTCATTATGTTTCTTTCTGCAGGTCTCCCAGACTTGGTTCCTGACCCTTATTACATCCAAGCTGCCTCTTACATCCAGAGGGTGCAGATGTACGCACTTCGCTGTGCTGCTGAAGAGAACTGTCTTTCCAGGTGAAAATTATTTTCACTGCACATTAATCAAATCAAAAGCAAAGAATTAATTCAGATAATTAGTGAAAATATAAGTAGATTGTAAGTCTATATAAACCTTTTAGTGATTCTTGTGTCGATGTTTGTGCTTGACTGACATTTAGTTGTGCTCTCTACTGTGTGATAACATTTTATACCTGTAGATACAAATATCAATGAGGGTGTGCACATATAAATAAATAAATAATGATCATTTAGGATTCCTTTGAGGGTGCCACATTAGGATGTGTGCTGGCCTCAGTCCCATTTGGAAGCTACAGCTGAGTGACAGAGTGGCTGGACACAAACCTGGCAACCGCCCGAGATTCTCTCCTCTGATCTGAGCAGCAACTTTGCCAAGTAAAAGAGGCTCTGAAATGAAAGGCAAAGGATTCCTGAGGTGAATGTAAAAACTACCTAGGCAAGACCAGAAACCACCTCTGGCGCTTCAAACTGTAAACCACCGTCATGTAACCTGGTTGGTGAGGAGAAGACGGTGCAGTGCGGTGTGTGTAGAGGATAATGTGTTGTAAGAAAAAGACTTCAACCAACAGCTGTGCACTCGAGGTAAACTTGGCTCGTTCCCTTCCTGTTTCCCTTTTCCTTCAGGTCTGCGTATCATCCGAGTGTGAGGGACCTCGACTACAGAGTCCTGCTGCGGTTCCCACAGCGTGTAAAGAACCAAGGAACAGCAGACTTCCTCCCAGTGAAGCCCAGACATGAGTGGGAATGGCATAGCTGTCACCAGTGAGTTCAATGTTGTTATACAAACACACCACCCAGTCCAGACTCAGAGATAGTGTCATTCAAAATGATTCCTCAGTTTATGTTGTTTTTATTATTTTACTAGTCTCATAAAACACACACGGCTTCTATTTATTTATAAAGCCATTATACATTTAGGAGGCTCTATTGGCAGAAATGGAATATAATATTCATAGATATGTTTTCATTAGTGTTTAAACAGC